TTTCGAACAAAGTGCTGTTTAAATAAGGTGTGTGATAAATTGCAATTCGACAACACTCTGTGTCTGCAAAAACATCACTTAAAAATTCGTGTAACATTTGAACATACCTTATTTAGTAACGAAGTTAGGGCTGTTGGTGTGGGCAAGCCTGAAACTTTCATTGAAGAATTCCAATCTCAGAGAATATCTTTATCCTAAACTGCAAGTCTTTCCCACCTACTCAGAAATTGAATATCTTGAGAAGCTAGACTAGATTATACTGGTGGCTGTTGCATAACCCAGAAGTATTATGAGAAACATCTATCCTCTAGCGATCAAATTTACAGCTTATTCAAAGTTAATATTACAGCTGAAGAGTGTTTGTTAATGTCGTGATCACAGCAGCAGTACAGTGGTTTAATGTTTATTCAGAAAAGTTGTCAAATTCACTTTGCCCTAAAATTCAAGAAATTTTTAGTGGAAAAGTTTTTTTGTTATCAGGTTGTTTAATCCTATTTCTAAAAAGAAAAAAATCAGTTACCATGAATTTGCTGCATTAGTATAAACGTGATAAGGAAGGACAAAGTGAACAAAGTATAAGTAAAGATTTAGGAGAAAAACTTAATGAAGGTAGTTACAGCAGAGGTCACGTGTCATTGCTAAGACTTTTAGAATGGTAGTAATGGTAATAATGATAAAAATGTTAGAATGAAGGGGAACAAAGTGGAACTAAACATATATTATTTGGTCAAAGGTGTTTCAGAAACAGTTTTGAGATACATAACGCAATAATGTAAGTTGAAAAACCGTTAACCTACTGGACAATTTAATTCAACCAAAAGTAGTCGCCTTAAAAGAAAACCACTCGTAAGTAAATAACCAATATGTGAATGACCTAATGTGTTTAAGGACAGATAATGCTGTTATCTTATACTCAACCTTCAGCGGCCAGTGTTCTGTAATGCATCCTGTGTTAGTTAAAAAAAAGGTGTAGCTGTCTTTCAAATAAAACTTGTTGTCATGTTTCTCAGTCACATTTAATTTCAAAATTGTTTATCTTATAACAACAGAAATTTTAGATCACGCGAAAAGACAACCTATTAGAGATTTAACTTGATATAAAGACAAAATTTATTAAGATACAAAGACGTTCTTCTACTGTGACAGTCAATAGTATAAATAAACCAAATATTTGCTGGGTTACGTTGGATTCCCTGGTAAGGAATATGTAGAATCTAATATGCAAAGTATCATGTTTCGATAACATTTCCTTGTTGTTGCATGCATTTCAAACAATCAATATCTAAATCGCCCAATTATTTCACAGCATCGACTCATTTATTTTCCAATAAACTTGAGTTCACCATTTTTGGGTGCCATGTGAAATAAATTTCTGTTATCAAGAGTTTCGTTTGGTATTTCAGCAAAATTCAGATCTTACATGTATCAAAGTTGGAGATTTTATCACCAATTATCGCAAGTACCATGTTACTTACAGCGTGGATTTAGTCAGCAAAGGATGTATGTGTACTCTTATGCAGTCGATAAAATTAGAAATACTCTTATTATCCTTTCACCGTTGCTAATTCTAGTCAAAGTTGACATTTTATAGTGAGTCAAAAACTAACCCTAGTAACCTCCGAAAAAAACAATCAAATCACCGTGTTTTGTCTGGTAAAGTAGTTTTTCGTAAAATACAGAACTAAAACAGGTTAGTTTAGTAGTTGTTAGCATGGCCTATAAATCACTACTATGTAGAGGGTTTACCTCAGAGACTGTTTGTATTTAGAATCAGTCTAAATGTCACCCTAGCGACTGCTGAAATAAACATTCAATCCTACTACTTCGGATGAAAAGGTAGATTTTTATAAAATACAGAAACCTAATTAGTTATCTCAGCAGTTGCTTGGTGGCTTTCAAAGTCGCTCATATAATTTTGCATTTGTGGAGTACTGATTTACGGCTGGATCTAATCTCAGAAGTGTGACTTTTGACCTTATTGTACTACCCAAATAAAGGTTTACCTCGGGATTTAAATCCTATCTTTTCACGTGATTCAGATAATGTGGCTGAGATTTGCCAACAGTTATTCGCATTTTATAAAAGTAAACTAAAAAAGATTTGAATGGTCATGATTGTTGAAAAGTATTTTAATACTGGACTGGCTCTAAAACCCACCTAAGCGACAACTGGAATAACCAACTAGAATCCTTTTTTTATGAAAATCTGCCTTTTCAGCCGAAATAGAGAAACCTAATTGGTTATTACAGTTGTTGTTAGAGCATTCTTTAAAATCACTCTGAAACTACCTTTATTTAAATTATTTGCTTGAATGAGTGGCCATAAGGACAACAGAAGGTGGAGGGTATTCCAATAAATCCTTTAATTTGTACTGTGGTTATCATCATACCCTGTGCGAAGAGTTCTTAAATGAACTTCATTTTCCAAGGTGTTTAATATGTACTCCAAGTTAAATTTATGTTTACTGGAGCCGCTTTTCATAGGATTTGAATCTGAACCAGTCGTTTATTTCTTATGATCAGAGTTTTTAAATCTAATGTGCAATGTGAAAACTAGTCTAATTAGCAAGGTAGCGCCGGACAATTTGTTTTGGTGCTAAATATTAGAGGACAGCAATAAGAAAGCCTTACTTTGTTAAACATATATATGTATATATAATGAGATAGTCGCACGAGTATACAGTTGCAAACAAGATGATTTTAGAATACTTTAATGATAGAAACCACGTTTGCATTAGAATTTATGTCGTTATTACTGGATACGTACGTAAATGAATCCGTCGTCATCAAGGATTACCCAAGTATGAAAAGACCTGTCGCATGAGATTATCAAATAAAGCATTACTTTTAATTCTTACAAACAGCTAAGTTATCTGTCATGCTCATATCAGTACTTCTTTTGTCTTTATTTTACTTTGTAACCGAGGAAAATGTGGTGTTATGAACTGAATGTCGTTAACAATTGAAGGTAATGAAAACTCTTCCGAATTGAAAGATCGTAGAATTTATTGTCTCACATCAAAACCATTTATGTTAGCTGTGAGTTTGTCCATTCTGCTCCCACTAACACAGTTATCTTATTTGCCTGTTTCTCTCTTTAATGCCGTTCAACGGTTTAAATAAACAGATAGTGAAGACTTTAAATGAGGTTTCAATTTCCCAGCAGGAACAAGTAAGTATGCAATTATGCTACAGAAAGTCGAATATATTGAACCCGAAGGTACTGAAATATATTGAAGTTAGGGAAAAGTTTTGCTGTTAAACAACTGATTGTTAAAACTTGATAATCTCAATATTATCTACATGAAACTATGATCATCGCTCACTACTCTGAGAGTTTCCAGTAACTTTTGCTTCTTGCAATTTATCCTGTTTGTTACCATGCCCTTGGAATAAAACAACAAATTATCGGTGATGTCTAAACCGGTGAACGTGTTCATTAAATACAGTAGCATACAGCTGTACATTTGGAGCTTTGAGAATGAAATCGCCAAAAGAATCTCCTCGCTTAGCTACTCGTTGCTTTTTCATTTATCCGGGTATTCCCCATACAACAAAGCCTTAACTCATAAATTTCCCTTGTGAAGACGTCTGTTTAGAAAAATTTCCCAAAGTTCCAAGTACAATAGTAATAGGTAAAGTTATACAAGGGGCTTTTCATTACTTCTAAGCAATTATATTTCTGATATACTTCTCCGTCTGTGAAGTCATCATAATCTTATGTGAAAGGGTAAATTGTTGAATTTTTCTAACTGAAGTAATAAAAGTGCTAGGAATAATTAATTGAGGTGAAAAATTAAGATACAACGGTGTCTTCTGTCTTTCATGTTTTTTGAATTCAACAAAACTGAATATTTTCAACTATCATAATAATGTCCTGATATGATGCATTAAAATAAATTGATTACCAGAGAGTTATAGTGTAACAGAATCGTGTTTGAAGGTATGTTTCTGGCATTGTGAAGCTTCTTAGCAGCTTCTTCAAAACGGAAGCATATACGTGTTATGATAAGGTGAATTTGCAATATGTGAATGATAAACAATTTGTCTAACATATGGTCAACTTGAGTTAGGTATGGAAATGAATGTCTCTTTCAACTTTCATTAACTTCTTCACAAAAAGTATTTCGCTTATGATTTCTTTCCTTCGGGTTATTTTTCAAAGTCTAAAGGTATTTGTTCGCTTGGTATTGAAATTTGAATAAGCTGCTTCTACCTAAAACACCTCAGTTGTGAAAATAGTTAGGCTGCTTTGTTTCTAAATTGTCGATAACTGAGTTACTTTTTAAATTAGGTGGCTTCCTGTTGCATCAAAAACAATTTTTAGGCTGATAATTTGAAAACTCGTGGTTGTGATTGTCTGGTGCCTTATGTCTTCTTTAAGATTCAGTCATCACACTGTAAGTTACATATGTTGGTATGCATAGTAAACAATCAGCTTTCAATAAAGAAGTAAAGTCTGTGTTTTCTGACACTTAACCCCTAATACTGATTTGGTCTAGCCATTGATGATATTAAAATTAGTGTACAAGTTCAGGTTGAACGCTAGAGTTAAAAAAAGGAAAAGAAAGTATGATTAACACTAAGAGGTAGCTAGATGTAACAAAGTTATTTGTTTATTTAGATATGTGGATGTATCTGTAGCTGATTCAATACGAAAGTAGTCATTTTATGTCTGTATGCCACTTATCGTCAGTTTACAAGCACTGAACATTCCACACCATCTAACAGATATCTGAGTGAAGGGAGTAAAGCATAAATGTAGATGAAGTCAATGATTAATAATTTTATAGCCTTCTCGCAAAAGTATCCTTCTTGATGTTTTATTAGTTGGTTAAAAAAAATACATATTGTTCATTCTTATTACCCAATGATTTTCTCCTCGACATAATTATGCTTGAAGTTTTGAAACATGTGTTATCCATTAGCGAAGTGTATCTGCAAGTTAATCTGACTTCTTAAAACCTCCGGTTAACGGATGCTTGAAAGGTGTCCAATAACTCATGTTAAATCAAAAAATAATGAACAAATAAATAAGCATGAAACATATGGTAATACTACATCACTCAAAGTTTTAGAAACGGAATAGACTTCAGATTTAGTCGGTTTTGAATTCTTCCTAGTGTTTTCAGCAGAACTGCTGTCTCCAAATTTTGAGCTTTTGTAAGAGTAATTTGAGTGAGGTGTTGATGAACCAGTAATATAATTTTTGGGGGCTTTACGGAAACCAATTCTTGATGGCCAGCTAGTTTCCTTGAAGGAACATCGTTTAAAAGAATTCTTTTCAAATTCGTTTTCCGCTTTTAGGTCACCTGATACACGATTAATGTTTGCAGCACTTCTCCTGTGATGAAAGTGCAGTACAGAAAGATGACGTTTAGGACTTGAGTCTTTGTCTTTGTTTTGCGCTTCTGAGCATTCGCTGAACGTTATTAGCGGAATATTGGCAGCAATTTTTGACTCGACAGGAGCAATTGTGATTGCTGCTGTCTCTGAAACCGCTTTGGCTATACGAAATTCACGTGTTGGACCATGTACACTCGTGATTTTTGGAGAATTATCCGTAGCATCTGAAGGTCTACCTGAAGTCATCGGCTGGCATCTGGACTTTGCGAACTCGGAGAAAACTGGCTTGAGCTGTCCAAGAGGGTAGAGTTTGCATCATTACTGAATGCAGTTGGCGATGCTCCACTAGTACGTTCAATAACCATACGATGAGCCAATTCTGCAGCCAGAACTCTGTGTTTAGCAGTTTCAAGATTTTTTAGTGTCCTACGACGTCTTATCTGTCTGCGTTCTGGATTCTGTCTAGCGCTTGATAGTTGCTCCTGTAGATTCTTATCGAATGTCTGACTATCCACAGTGACTGCATTAAGTTCTTCATTCTTGTCCGAATGCTGACACGATGGCAAGATGACCAAAGAATATCTGCGGCTGGATAAAACATTATACATATTTCTTTCTAAACCTAAGTTATCCTTGTTTATATTTTCATTACCTTTCTGCAAAATTGTTTGATTGGTTTCTGATGGATGTCTTTCAGTCGATTTGAACTTAAGGCCTTCCTGATTATATGTATGCTCTGCTTTTGTGGTGTTGCCTTTATGATTACCTTGATTTTGGTCTTCGAAATTCGGTGTTCGTTCTTTTGGAGGTGTCGAAAGATTTTCATCATCACAGTCTAGGTTATCGGTGTTGGCACCAGTATCACCACCACCTCTGATTGTTTGTAGGTTGTTGTAAGCCTGGTGGTTCAGGCTTGGTATGGTAGTTTTATTGTCACCATCACTTTCATCAGTTAAATCAAATGTGCGCCAAGGTTTGGTTTTTGAAAAAGCAGCTAGTCTTCGATTTTGTTTGTCTTCATTTTCAACCGTGACCTGCACTTCATTGGTTTCCTTAAGATGCTTTTCGTCGTGCTCAAAATCACATAGAGAGTCAGTTGATCGGACAAGAATATCAGTAAATGGATCTACTTGGTGACGCCACATTTCTTCAAAGCGCTGAGTCTATTGAAACAAAAAGAGAAAAGTTCAGGTTTGCTGATTGTTCAGAAACATTTCAGTGAAAATACCAATACTTTGTAAATAGTGAGATGCTACTGTAAACTTCAACAAGGGACTGTTCAAACTTTTGCAAAAGCTGACACAAAATGTCTTATTAAACCTAAACACTAATGAAGCATGCATTTAATTCACATCAAAACACTAGAGGTGATCTTGCTCGAAATATTACCACACCTTATAAAATTCTATTATTGTGTACGGGCATCCCAGTTAAGTTTATCTGCTATAAGTCGTTCTCTTTTACAATCCACAAACTCTTTAAGAGATACTATTAGATAATCTGTTTATGTTTTGGGACCAATTATGTAATCTACCATACTACCGAATTCAGTCAACATTATGGCACCCATGTTTACAACATCTGTGATATTTTCCGTTTCATCAGATAGTCACGTCAGTTATATGTGAACAGACACCCGTTAGGCTGGTGAAGCTAATTCCACAACACATAAAAGTTACGTAATGAACATTGTCATCTAACAAAAACCTTAGTTAATTACCTGTATAACATATCTATCGGACACTGTCGAGTAATTGTTAGCATGATTGTAGGAGTATTAATGGAGCATTCCACACATGGTGAATAGTGAGAAAAACTTTCAAATTTAATCAAAAAGAAAATTTCCTTCCACATTGTAAATGGGTTAACATGTGTCGACTGTTAAACGTTTGAAATGATACAAGTTTGTAAGCTTCAGCAGCTATGATAGACAGTAAACCTATCCGATGAGTAGTGTTTTAAAATGCCTGAAAGCATTTTGCACACTGTGGTAGTGTAATTCTATATTAGATTAGTTTGGTTAGGATATTAAGAAATGAAATAAACAACGCAAATCACCCCAGTTCCGGTGCTGTTATATAAAGCTATGGGCTCCATTTTTCACAAGGGGGGGTGTGTGTCATCATTCTACTAAGTTGCCCAGGTAGAAGTAAGTTGAGCTGCTTTGAAACCCAGAGCTCCTTACCCAAAAGTGAAGTTCTCAAGCTAATTAACTACACCTACCTTATAGGGCATAGACACATTGTATTATTCACTGGATGACATTTCAAGCACATATCAAGTTTCTTTTTCATCCCTTCATACGATATGTGCTAAATCTTTCCGTAAACCTGGGTACGATAATCATTCATTCTTGTTGCCCTTGTTAGATTTTGATTCTTTGATTAAACATTCAGTGACCAACTTCCCCCTCCAACTAACAGTGCCATGTTTTAGAACTGCAACCCTTTTCCGCACTGTACAGTTGCCAAATATTTCAATCATTGTTGTGACTCATTCCTTGCTTAGATTACTCATCTTGATTCAACATTTTACTCTAGATTTGTCATAAGTCATAATACTCTGTTATTTTAAATGACTCAGGTTACCTCAACCTACTTATTCTGAGTTACATGAATCAACAGAGATAAAAAGGGTGGCCTGCTTTAACTATGGGATACTGAAATGCTTTCACTGGACTTATTTCATCAAATTCTTCCATTTCATTTTGTTTTAGTTTTTCAAATATGCTTTCTAAACGCATTAATTACTTTAAAGTGGTTTCAAACCGCCGTTTTCCAAGCTAACAATGAAACAAAGAATAAACGATGCACCGGTAAGAGATGGAGTTCCAAATGCATAAAAATACAGTGTATTCCTATTTATCGGATAATTACGTAGAATTCCAGATTACTGTACTAGTTGAATAAACCACCGCTACCAGAACTACACTTGATATTGAATCCATTCTACAGTTCAGATCAAACTCTCATGTAATACCAGATGCCCATTTCACAATGTGGGTTTTGTTACTAAAGATATTGACATTACACAAACACAGTGATTATTTTGTACATGAAATGAGTTTGTTGAACTACTATAAGCTGAGAATTTCATACTCTACTTTGAAACAAAGCTATTATTATTTATTGAGGAATTAAAAGAAACTAAAGATGAAAGTGTTGTTTGAATTTACCTCATCTTCATATAGCTTATTGAAACACTGTGATAAACATACAGTACAATGATATCTGTAGAACAGGCTAATAGGCATTGTCACAACAAATAATATCCAACCGTAGGTCCCGCGATTTGTTTCCAACATAAATAATATGTCTGCATTTTTGAGCTGAAACATAATATAAATTAGTTACAACAATGCATTCTGTGTTTGGCCTCACGTCCATGACACATAATGAAATTTACAGGACCACTGATGTATTCATATGAATTATCCACCATGATTAGCTTATCACTCATATAGAAAGTTTTGGGTTATTTGCTACTTTTTTCTCAAGATATGAAGTGGAAACGTCCATCCATGTCTTTTGATGTCAATGAAAACCAAAGCCACCGGATGGTATACACTATCGCATTACCGTATATTCAATGTTGATCACATTTTGGGTGAAAGTATTATAGCATATTAGGCTGATGCTCGAATAGGAATCTGCCTCAAATATAGCATAATACCTGCACTACAGGGTTTCCTCACCGGGGGATGAACTCAAGTAAAAAGTTGCAGTGTCGAAGTATTAGGAGAGATAATTCTTTAATTTTATCTGAGCTCTGAAGTTTGTTCTTAAAGGCGTTTCATCACGAGACTTGAACTCATCAGCTGACTATGTGGATAAACTTCCATGAACGGACCTCAAACCTTGAGGAACACCAACCAATTATAATTCTGAACCTGATCTGTTAACCTTCTGGACCTTCTTAAATATAATGTCCTTTTTAAAAACCTGTCTGTCTACAGCCTTTAGTAAATCTTGTTTTAATTAAGCGCGAGTTGGAATTCTGAAAAGCAAGCACAATAAGAGTGAATTATTCACCTTTCTGGAAGGCCTGCAAAGCGGATTTACTGATAGCCCACTTTTCTTGATATAACTTATTCTCGAGACTAATGTATATATCATTTGACTATCTAAGATAGCCGTAGTTTGGCAGACTAGTATTTATACTGAGTGGTGATTGAAGCTGAGATGAAAATGTATATATGTAAAGGTATGTACCCGTGTATATATTAGTTGTAAACAAATCGTTTTTCATATTTCAAAGTACTGTGTTTACTACTATTTATTGACATACTTGTTATTCTCTGTTGTTTTGTTGGATCAAATTGTTCGACCTCTGTTGGCATATGGGCTCTTATGCGGATACCTCGATATTGCCTGAATGTTAATTATGATAAATTGGTTGGTTGGTTGTGGCTAGCAGAAGAATCCAAGACGCGTGTTCCGTCCTATTTGGGACTCATCAGCTGGATGTACCTACACCCCAGTGTTGTTCCCACTGGGACTCCAGTCTGGTACTCATCGCTCCAAACGCCAAGGCATTATCCACTATGCTACGGAGGAACGATAGCCACTTCTTGTACAACGGGTAGTAGTTATAACTATTTATTAACATACTTGTTATTTCAAGTTGTTATTCATCGAAGACTGACATCAGTTGGAGGAACAAAGGAAACCTGGGAGCACTGGACAGCTGTTTCGTCCTAGTATGGGACTCCTCCATACTAGGACGAAACAGCTGTCCAGTGCTCCCAGGTTTCCTTTGTTCTTCCAACTGATGTCAGTCTTCGATGAATAACAACTTGAAATATTTCCAAATCTCCACAACCCCTCAAAATTTAATACTTGTTATTCTCTGTTGTTTTGTTGGATCGAATTGTTCGGCCTCTATTGACATACATGCTACGTTCCTTCTGTGGCATAGTGGATAACGGCTTTGCGTTTGAAGCGGTGGGTGCCAGGTTCGAGTCCCGGAAAGAACAACATCACTGGGATGCAGGTACATCCAGCTGACGAGTCCTAAATAGGACGGAACGCGCGTCCTAGATTCGTCTGCTAGCCACAACCAACCAACTTGTCACACTATGTTTACGTTCTATATTGACATTTGCATACTCTTCTGCGACTTCTGTAGGACTTTTAAGGTTGTAAAAAATCTAAATTATTAGCATACGTCCTAGAAATGAAATGTTCTATAACTCTGCATAGTATGCAAGCATTCAACAGAAATAGTTGTGTAATAAAAAGAGTAATATTATTGGATTGCATATGTAAATGATGACATTTACAGCACTTAGCTCTCTCAGAACAAGTGTGCCCAATTTCTTAATTACACTTAATATATGTTTACCTTATGAGTGCACAAGTCAAGTAAGGATAAATTTTAATTCTTTTCCTCTAATGTAGTAAAAGACCACAAAAATTCAATCCTCAGATGAATCAGATACTGTTGGTATCTTGAATTGCATTTTATTTTCGTAAAATTCAGTCGTACCATAGATATTTATGGAACATTTGAGCTTTTATTTCATATTAACTTTCAGCAACATAATTCCCAATGTCTAATATAAAATAATAATAATTTGATTATAGTGTTTGAGGGTTCTCTTCTCCACTTCTTGTGCCCACCAAAACACCAACTTTAAAGCCTCCTGGCTTCCTGTCACGTAATCACTGGTGTAGATTACTTTTTATTCCAAGTTAGCGTCACATCAAAGAATTATTGTGTTGGAGGGTACCGCGATAAAATAAATAGAAACATACACTTTTTCAAGCTAACTCCAACAAAAGGACTCACCTGGAAACTTTTTTGTATCCATAGGGCTAAGTTTATCCCTAGCAACGCAACAATCGATTGTCTACCAGGTTTCACAATTTGTTGTTCAATACGATCACTGCATCGATAAAAACTATCTTGTACAAAGTATGTCTGCAAAACCATTTGAATAAATTCAAACGCGTTCACCAAACACCGACCAATTAGTAAATGTCTTTCAGCGTCACTCTTAAATGAAAGTAATGCAAAAAGCATCGCAGGTAAGAATTCCTGAATACACTGATTTGTTTTATCTACTAAGAGGAAATAAGTTTCAAGTAAAGAAAAGTATTCTGTCCCGTCAAATTTTTGTAGGCAAATAAAATATTGTGAATTCGCTTGCTAGTAAGTTTAAGTAATCCCTATAAACTATCTTCTTGATGTTTTTTGCTTGCTAAGCAGGAACAAGAAAGTTCTAAAAACAAACAAAAATATATTGTAGAACTATCAGTCACATGCCGAGATTACTTTACTCTCTTAATTAATCATGTTCCCTATAGTTGCAGAATATATAAATTAAGAAATCAGCATTAGATTAATCTCAGGATTTTAGGCATAGAAACTGCATTAGGATGATACATTTGTTGTATCTGAAATCGTGAAGCTTGTCTTCACTTAAAAATTCAGAGTATAGTGCATAGCTGGATCAGAATTCACCAGAATAGTGAATATAAGTTTTCGTCTCCATCAGCTGAAATTTCTTGCCACAAAGGCACGTTCGAATATTATCTAATAATAATAAGAATATAACTTCAAAATTAGGACACTATGTAAGGAAATAAAGTAAAACCTACACCTGAGAGAAATTTTCATTTATACTGTTGCATTTATCAAAAACTACTCCACAAAGTTCAACCTAAAAAAGCTAAGATGCTGATTTTTCAATGTAAGTCTTGTTAATCAAACATATTTGGCTAATATAAAATTTGCGTCAAAAGTTGAACAGTTTGCTATGTCAGACGTACGGTTTTGATCAAGACTACAAGATATAAAATCTATCAGTTACCGTCAATATTTTACTTGCACTTAGTCTGACTGGGAAAACTTTTACTCATTTGTCGTAAATGGGACTATCATATAAGCATACAGAATAACTAAGGTTGCTCATGGATTTACAAAAGGTGTTGTTATAGTTACTGATACGTGATAATTGCCTAGAAGCTAATTGTGTTATGCATCGAAGAATTGTTCACCTGCTTCCTTAATCAGTTTTCAACGATTAGTTGTACATTCTTTGAAATTCTAAGACTCTTTTCTCCCTGGTAAAACACGATTACCAGTTGAAAGACTAGCAGACGAAGCAAATTACAACTGTTGTGTCTTTATTTCATTGCATAATATGTTACAGACAATCAGTGCTTTTATTTCCAGACATATTGACTACTCGAAACATTGTGAACAGATACAAGTTCAATCAGTTTCTAACAAATTAATCCAAGCGTAATTTTAGTTACTGTATTTCCTTTCTTGTGAGAGTATCCATCACGATACATCTGTTCGGTAAAACAAAGTGCACCATAGTTAAACGTTTGCTTTTTTCTAATATTGAATGTATCCACACTGAGAAATTGATAGTTACTAGATTTTGCGCTGATAGTCTGCAACATTATTTTTGCTTCCTTTCTAAGTAACTTTTATTTTCGTTCACATAAAGAAATTTTGGTACCTCCATTTTATCTGGCATCAGTACCACTTAGACTGTTATTCAGTATCAAGTGATTACAACTTGAGCCAATATACAACATTAAATTTTCAGGCCGAAGTTCTATAGTTTCCAAATACCTCTGTCACACAGTATTGGAGAATGAAACTTGGTCACAGAAGTCTATGCTACTAAAGAAAAACTTACGCCATGCTACTTTACTCTTTAGTTACTCATAGTTAAGTTCGAAAAAACTTTTTGACAGCAGGTCTATTTTTTGTCCTGTATAAACTTCTCACTGGTGATGCACAGTGACCAGAAAGTCAAATCTACCCAAAAGCAAACCAAGTCAAAGGTGAGGACAGGTCTTCAACGATGGCATTGAATGAAGGTCAGACTGTGTCGCAAACTGATAAAATTATGAAAATATGAACGATTGAATTCCAACCCAGTAGATCAATGGATCAAAGAAACTATTGTCTAACAAATATGCAGAAAAAAGTGGAGTGGATTGGACATACACTGAGAAGACCGTCTTGGGGAAATAACCCATCAAGCACTCGAGTATAACGAAATGGGAAACGATGAGTTTGACTTCCAAGAGTGATATACAAGAGATCATGTGAGGAAGAAATGAAAGCTTCTGGGCAGCCATAGAGCCAGGTTGAAAGAACTGGAGCGAAAAGAGTGAAATGGATAAATGCTCTTGAAGCTCCATGTTCCACCAGGAACCCAATGGACAAATAATAATTAAAACAGATCGATATCAACGTGGCCTCCTCGAAACCCAAAGGTCTTGATTTCTCTTCCCAGAGCGGCCACTGGTATGCATTGCTGAGAAATTTCAGACTAGGACAACACGGCTATCCAGTGTTCCCATTTTTTCAATGACCATCAAACTGATATAAGTCCATGAAGAATACCAACTCATGATCTAAATACCATTGCCAAATGTTTTCTCGTTTTTCATAATGTTAGCCATTTTTTACACAAACCCGCCAATACATTTTTGACGAGCTGACTATTTAAAGACCACAACCTCTGAATAAAGTTATCTGTCAAAGTAAGTTTACTCTTTGAAGGCTAAATTTGATTTATTCTTGTCATAACAAATGCAAATTTACATGTATATTCAGTAGATTTACCACACTAATTTGTGTAAATGTCATTACGTGACCGAGATTTGTACCTAAATGGAAAACGTTATCACTTTATAAAGCATTGTTAAGGGAGCAATTTTGTACTGTTTTTTCTTGACTTATATGATATATAACTTTTTCATGTTGTTCGAAATAATGTTTGATATTCATTCACAGTCAATGTTGATACTCTTTCTGCATGCACACTACTTGCAGAATGACATTTCACAATACGGATATTCATATGATCGGTTCCGATTGGTGACGTTGAAGTTTGTTATTTGGTTTATTTGCTGTTGAATATTTTATGGTTGCATTAACTAAGTCATTTTTATTCTATATTCTTCAAACATTCTGGCATACGGAAAATTTGCACTTAAGTAGTAAGGTATGCTGCTACTTAAAACCTCGAAGTTTTCAAGAAAACAGTTTCAAAATAATTTGGTTATTTCGAAAGAACTTTAAAAATAGAACTATTAAGACAGAATCATGTAGATTCTTAGTGTCACTTTTTATTCCATACCAAAGAAATATATTGAATGATGAAGCATTCGATGAAATCTGTATAAAAATATAAAATAATTGAATCCTAAGAGAATCCTAAGAGAAGTGAACAGATGTTTCATCTTAATATGTCACTGCCCAGCAATGCCCATCCATGATTTCATGAAAGATAGAACCTTACACCTTCAGATATCCTGATGACCACACCTGCCTTTCAAACATCAGTTTGGAATCCAGTAGCCAAATTCTCCTCTACTTCTGTCAATTCACTGGAATGGTTGTCGGCGTGCCACTACAATGGAGACCCATATTAGGGTGAAATAACTGTCCAGTACTCTTAGGTTTTCACAGGCTTTCTGACCGATATCAGTCATTGGTGAATACCATTTTTACATCAATCAACTCTCACGAGCCTCCAAAAAGAAATACTTTTTTTTAATTACGTAGAAAAACTATTCATCATGTGACAACTTACACTGTCTTGTTGTCGTAATATCAGTCAAATGCTGACATTGGTTACCTTCATAATTGAAATAGACAACTGTATGGATAAAAAACTATTCAGACTATATTAAATTGAGTTAACTTAACGTATTTGCAGCAGATTGTAGCTAACTAAATATGCCAACAATATGAAAGGTGTTTTTTAACAACTGAGGTGTTTGGGAAACACTATTGTAAATTAACAGATACCTAATAACAGACGATGAGGACAGCCGTTGAAACTAGTAGTTGTCATCACTCAGTTTTTATGACATCGGAGTACAGTTTTCGCATTTCATCAATTTACTAGTTCGTGTAAATTTTCATTATTCTGGTACTTATTCAAATTAAAAGAACAGCGCAAAAAAATGGTATCATAAGGGTATTGATCACAGAATTGAACAAAAAAATGATTACCATATTGGATGTACTCCTTCCTTTTGCTTCAAAATCTGCTGCTAATATGATTGTAGTTATTGTATAATTTGCAGCAAAAAAGAAAGCTGTATATAACAGAAATTCATCGACACGACTTTGTCTTGTAGCGATACTGAATTTTAAACGTCTTGTTTGATAAAACGCCATTACCACAAACAATATTCCAAAAAGACTCAAGACAGCTTCTTCGGCCAAAAGAATTATACACTTCCATAAATTTCTGGTCAAATCAATGTGATTTGGTGTAGAAACTGTTAGTGTTGTCAGTGCAATAATTATAAGTACCGTAATAATTCCAAACCATGATCCCGAACTTGTGCTCCACCCACGACAGTCTTGAAGCATTTTATGCTGCTATTTAATCGGGGAATAAATACATTCACATAAACAAGAGGTTATGATTAGGGAATTTGGTGTGATATACGATGTCAATAAATTCGTGGTTCGAAAAATATTCCTTATAAAAACAAGGAAGACGAAAATATTTTAGGTATCCATAACCTCACGAATATGTTGATCGTGAATGTGTTTCGTGTTAAACGGGCTGGTGATGTGGAAATGTTTGACTAATACTGGGAGGAAAGTCAATCACATTTTATAGATTACGTGAAGTATATCTCTTTAGCTTCAAGATCAGTAAAAACGTTTAAAAATATTTCCTGTTTAAAGTGATTATTCTGCATAGCAGTGCTCAACCAAATGTAGTATTTACTGATGTATGATGCAAAATATTATTTTCAGATTTTAGTCAGTACTCGATTGTTTTTTATGTGAAAATCATCGGAGTGTGCTTAAATTCCTCAAGTGTGATAATAAACTCCATTAAGTAGGATAAATAATGTTAATTATATCAGCTGCAGATTATCAGTGTCTCCACTTTATCCTGAAACAAGCATTTTTATTTATTACGATTGATTTTTAGGGTTCACTTAGTTTGTGTTGGCGATTGAGACCCAGCTGATGCGTTAGTAAAAATTGTAAGTTGGCTGCATCAACAGTATTCAGGTTATATTAATACAGACAGTTTCAAATCGAATTTCTTATAGATAGAATTTTTAAAAGTCTCCACTTTATTTTAAACCAATTGCCCTGGTTATATATGTAGTTCTTAACTTGTTGATTAGTTTTAAAAATTTTTAGCCCCTTTTAATACATATATATATATATATATGACGCGATTCTTTTCTGATTCAAGGTAAATTTTCCTTCAAGGTTGGTCTGTAGTAGTCACTTAGACCATTTCACGTTATTTACTATTAAACTAAGGAAACTAAAGTTATCCAACATTTTTGTGCTAATGTAGTACTAATCAAGCATCTAATAATGAGAAGTTAGACTTGAGATGGTACAAAATACTTGAAGCACAGGAGGACAGTTTTGATGGTGTTCTCTGAGCTGGTTGGTCTAATCAGGAATCCTTCATTGTTATCCGAGACAATACCATCAGTGCGAACTTCAGAAAGAAGTGAGCAATAGGGATTTCCCCACGAGTGGTTTAGTAACTTGTTCTAATGACAATGGGTGTGACTGGTTGTTTCCGCTAAAATTTTTGTCACCGTCGTTATATGCATTTCGATTGTTTCTGCTGTCGGCGTGAGCTCTTATCTTATTTTTGTTTCACGCGTTTCTTGTTGGCCAATAGGTTAGGTCATTGTCATTGTGTCTGCTGATTGATGACTCATCTGAGTCTTAAGCTTTTGAAAATTCGTTGGCATCCTTTGTATTTGCTCTATCCAGTATCTTCAAATTTCCCCAGTCAAATTCATGTTCATATTTGTCCGCATGCATTGATATGAGCGAAGATATGTCATGACGCACCACTGCTAGTTGATGATGTCTACTGATGAGAAGAGGATGAACGCTCTGTCCGATGTAGTGTTTTTCGTAGTTTCTGAGGTTTGTTTATCTTCCTTTGCTGTTGTATCTTTTGGTCAGCACAACAGAGTGTGAGAAGATTTTGTGGGTTTGTGAAATACCGCAGTTCCAAAAGGCTTCAGTAATCTAGTCGTGATTTTTGGGACGTTCTTTTTGTTGGAAAGAACAATTTTTTTGTTCGTTTTCGAGATTGACTTCTCGGTTAACGACGAATTATGTAAACATTTTTTGACAAAGTTACATGAATAGCCGTTCTTCAAGAAAATAGTCATCAAATAGTTTTCTTCTTTTCTCCACAGAGTTGATGTACTACAGTGTATTTTCGCTTTTTCAAGCAGTGTTTTTATACAACGGATTTTGTGTGCTGTTGGATTGTTGCTGTTTTAGCTGCAGATTTGACCCGTATGAGTTGGCTTTCCTGCTCACTCCTGTTTTCAATTTCCGCTAATCCATTCTAGTGATTAGAACATCTAAATACGCAAATTCTTTATTTGATTCCGCTTCACTTGTGAATTTCATGTTGCCTAAAATGTTGTTGATTATTAGGTAAGCGTTTCCCAGTTCATTTCTTTTCAGGATATTGAACGTATCATCTACATGTCGGATCCCAAGTTTTGATTTGATAAACGGCAGTACCACAGTTTATAGTCTTTGCATTACTCCTTTTGGAATTACTCCTAGTATAAGCTATCCCATTGGTGTTCTCTTTGTTTGTACAATTCGTCGTTGAACTTAAAATATGTCGTAAGGCATAAATGAAACAACTAATTCCATCAAACTTGAACATTGCAGTGTGTATGTTAGTTACGAGGAATCATTGTATTTTTAGCCAGTTTAGTTCTAATCAAGGTGTATACAGCTGTACTGTCGAAAATTAGCACTAGTTCACCGTTGTCAAAATGCACATGATTGATCTCTTCCGAAAATTGTGTTGAAAAGTTGATACAGTAGTCACATGATACCGCTAAACTTTCCAGCTTTCTGAAGTTTCCTTTTATAGATTGTACGCTACAGTCCTCAGTAGTGGAAAAATTGGTCGTAGTGAGATGCTAGGTTTCTGTATTTTCGATCTACTATAGACGTGTGGAAGAACAGGCTCATTGGATTTCATTTACAATTGCTCTTGCTTTGTAATTTATCCCTTTTTCTTAACTTTGCTTAGGGTCTTGGTGATGTAGTTCATTTCTTTCCGAAGTTTGTTGATGTCAGAATCAACAACAATAGGTTCACGAGTAAGCTGTCCAACTCAGAGAACACAACACCATCAGAAAAGAAGTCTCATGTTTTAAGTATTCAACAAAATATTAACTGTTAACACATGATTTATAGCCGAAACCATATTTGTTTTAATCGACCGCTGTAAATCATAGACATCAGCTTAAATCAAGTAATAATTTAATTCCTATGAAATCTCGTGCATAAAAATAACAATTTTATGTTCCAAGTGACGACTATTAAATTCAAACAAAAATTTCAGGATGTTTACCCTCTATGCACCCAGTTTACCTAACACCTTTGGAACTGAAAATAAGGCTTACGAAACTTGGAACAGTGAAGTGAAGACAAATAAGGGTATTTATAAAAAGGGTGAAAATTTGTTACTTTATCACGTATGTGTATACTTCAGCTATTTAATTGTTTCAACATGGAAAACTTGCACACATAACCAATGTTTCAATATTTATGCATAATTTTGTCATAATACCATGGTCTTGCAAATTCTTGTTTACTGAAATAAAAGTGAATGGGAAATATTTAATAACATATATTTAAGTATTATGGAACCACTTTTATTGCCATATGGTAAAATAAATATGAAGAATTGTTTTAAGAGTGGTGGAATACTTAGTTAGTGAGTTTTGCAAGCACTTCAAACAAGCGGGTTTTGCTACCTACAAAAGTGATGTTATCTTTTTACAGTCATCATCTTTTCTTTCTTGATAGGGTCAATCTTATGACAGACAATTCAGATCACTATAAATAAATTCTAACTCATAGGCAATAAAATCTATATGGTGTCATTTAAGCTTATACACCCCGCTTTAAGTCACTTTTGGTTTTATATGTCCAACTGCTTTGTTAATGAACATTTACGCGTTTCATCGAGTAAAGTGCTAAGAATTGATATTATTTAGAATTATTTCCTTGAAACTTATTGGTTGTTGGTAATCATAATTTTCAGAATAGCTGCGATTGACGTTAAACAATATCTTGGACCACAGCTTTTTATTATCGGTCGATACAAATCAGCCAAAACCTATTCTTATCACAGTAGATCTGTAAAAATAATGAGTTATTGTCAACAACTTTAATAAAGCTCACTACTCGAATAAAACAGAATTCATTTACTCATAATCATTCTTTTCATTGTGTTCACTTTGAATAGGTTGTGAAAATCATTAATAAGGTAAAATTACCTTTGCAATTTATCTTAAGGAAAAAAATTGACTGAAAATGTTACACAGGCTGTATTTTTGTTGAATTGAATTGAAGAATAGGTGATAAAGGTATGCAACAAAAAACCACACGTCTTAAGCAGTTCACATTGTGAAGGATAAAATGACAACAATTTATTCCTCGATTAATGTAAATTATCAGAATTATCAGGTGTAGCTAACACACGTCCTGTTGTTCATAGACCAACCTGAAGGATTATATATTCTCAGTTTAACATTTTCGTATCTTCGCGTCACAAGTCAAACTTCTTCAGAGTACTACCATATCAGAGCAGTTAAATTTTTACTACTGACGTGAGAAACCAAAACAGAAAAAATGATTTGAAATGCAAGTTGTAGCTAATTGTACAAATCTTAAGACGCGTAACCATCGTTTTAGGTTTTGAAATGAGTCTCATCGTGCCTGTCATTCCATGGATCCTTAAAGAAATTTGTCTTGGTTTTTTCTTTGCATATCGTATTACATCAAGGTGTAAAACATTTGGAGTTTGCCTTTCTATATTTGAACAATATTTAAATTCCTAGAGAAGTTGGAAACGTTCTGCAACGATCAACACTTAAATTTGCAACGACATATACACTAGTTTCTTAAAAAATATAACTGTATGATGTGAAATATTTCTTGTCAGATCGTTTTATTTAGTTATTGTATACTAAGCTTCACATATTAACGGCTACTGAATTAGACACTATGATATGTCGAAAATCACCTATTAATGTATAGAAATGATTGACTGAAGCAACAACAGCATAGCACTTAGTTATAGTTAGGTCAGTCAGAACTACATTTCGATGACTTAGACACTGGCAATTTACCCGATGATCCTGAGACTTGAACATATTTACTTGTGAGTCTGATATTAGATTCATACTCGGTAAAAGGTTTTTCTAGAAGGGTAGAAACGCTGAAAAAAGATACGAGATATTCGCTTAGTTTATTTATGCTAATACACAATACCGGAACTAAATAAGTAAAATAAATCTGATACAATGAATCATATGGACTGAGTACTTAAGTCATTCCAAACTACTCAATTCGTCGCTGGTTTAGATGCGTCTAACATTCAGTCTGCTCTTATAGTTTAGGGTTTAATGCCATTAAGTGAATTCCTTGGTCTGAAAAGAAAATTATAAAATCACTGGACCAGTTTATGTCAGCTACTAAACTCTGTTTATAAATGTGGCTTTCTTTGAGATGAAAACTGATCTCATTTGATAAAAATTAGCAGTTTACTGAAATTCCACATAAAATTTAATTCGTGGTTTACAACACTAAAAATAATTTAGGCGACAAGCTCTCGGATATCGAAAATATTTTGAATGTGCAATCAGTGTTACTGCCCATCAATGCTGAATCAACACCTACGTTTGCATCAGTATGAAAAAAATTTTAAAAGAATCTTCACTATCTCTTTATAACTGACCTCAACATTGACACTAAAATGAGATCATCTACGAATATAATTTCATAGGACATCTAGATACATGTGTGCGAGATTTCAAAAGTGTGATGAAATTTGAGTAATATTCCTTTCAAAACAAAGATCGAAGCTTAGATAAACTCCCATACAATAATAAAACTAATACGGCTTGTGTTTTATTTGTATTACAATGTATAAGTTTACTCAGATGTAAGCTAATGGTGTTAGCTCGACGTAAGAGCTTCAAATGGTGGCTGTCGTTAGGCTGATAAACAAAGACACTTCATATAATCACAGGATCCTAACTTCTTCTAAGACCTTACATTATTCTTTCTGAGCGAAAGATTTTAGTACTGAATTATGTTTCAGACTAGGCATATTTTCAACTAGAAATCTCGTTAATATGCAAGTCACCAGAAACTTCTGCTGACACATCAACTGAAGACTAAAATATCAACTATCAAACTTGAAAGACATCCTTTCCTTTCGGAGTTAAATACATGGCGAAACAATATTGTTTTACTATCAGTACAAGCAATTCCAAGGAATGGAAGAATATTCGAAGAGAATTCCTTGTGTGTTTTTCACAATGAGAAACCTTTACATATTCCTCTTTCATTCAGCACATCTTGTGTGGAATAGAGGGGTACTAAGCAAAAGTGTTGAAAGCATAAAATTAACTAGAAGCTTAATTTCATGAACAGCCATTTGCATACACCTGATGTATGTACTGTAGTGTTCCTCAGTGATTTGCTTCGACATGAGATTCCTGAATTTCCAAAAAGAGGTAGTAACGGGTGTTGTCAACCAAGTCAGATGTGAGGACAGCTACTCAGAGACAGGATTGAATGGGAATCACATTATATCGTGAACTAGCAGAAGTAGGAAATGTGAAGCATTGGATGCCAATCCAATTAAACGATGGTAATTTGTTGGCTTTTGAACCTGAAAATGCTGGGTTCCATGCCTGGTGCGGCGTTTGGTGCACACTGCTTAAGAGTTCCATATTAAGATGAAACGGCTGTCTAGTGCTTCCAGGTTCCCAGCCACTATCACCCCATGATGACTATCAACCTGAAATAAATAAGTAAATAAATCCCCAAAAACTTCCAAATTAAATGTATTTTACTGACCTTTTTAGAATCATGTGGTCTTTCTATTTCAATGAATGTTGGTTGACCAATTCTCATCACAATTTCGTATAAAAGTGCTGCAGCTAATAAGCAGTATTCACTAACTGTTGGTAGAAGATAAAAGGATATGTCGACCAAGTTATAAAAGTGTGTCTGATGCTCTACAGAAGTATAATTTATCATATCAGTTGCAGTTATTATTGTCAAATGGTTGTCATGATGGTCAGTGATATTGCCATGAGTGTAATTGTAGATATGTTCACTGTTTTTTTTCTGATTTCCATAGGACAAAGTTTTATCTATTTTCCCAACAGATATATCAGCCCATATGCATAAATTTGTAGTAAGTAGATGGACAAGACAAGCACCCATAACCTCATTGTATTGCAGAATAACCAGCTGGGGAGAAAATAAACAGCTTGATTAAAAAACTCTGTAGTAATAATAACATGAATTGAATATAAATGTTAGCATTTTAGATTGGTTTATTACGTCGGTGAAATTTCTAGTTTAGATTATACAATTATTTGCCAGTTTCTCATAAAGCAAAGTTCAATTTATTGGCATGTTATTCATTCTGCAACCAGTTCTGCAAGGTACGGATAAAAGAATGCAGAATATTTTTTTGATGTTATGCTAGTTAATTCTAGTTCCCTTATGAAGGAGTAGGTTGAACTACTTCAGATATTTTAATCCATATAAGCATTTTAGCTGAAATTCTCAGCCTCATAAGCAATAGAAATGCCGACAGATCAAATGCTTACTGGATTGCAAACATTAAGTATCGTGCAGTTATTTAGCCTGTATTCATGGTTGTACATATAAAATAGGTAAGCAAGGATATGGAATGCTTCTAAGCTAAGTCAAGTGTTTTCCTTGAAACTTTACAACATCTTTTACGAGTTTCTGATTGTTCAGGTGGGTATATGATATGCTTTTTGTTAACAATTAATCTGATGATATTATTCGTGAAAGCGGAATTGAATGAGCTGGTGATAATATATATCTTTAGGTTTACATTCTTGTACATGTCTGACATCATGCGATATCAATGCCTTGAATGTTCCCCACGTTTCTGGAATGAGATGAGATGTGAAAACCAGTGGTGTATATTCAAGCAGATTAAACGATTAATTGACGTCTTCTCACAATGAAGATTATGGGTTCAGGCCAAAGCAGTAGAAATATACTTTGACAACTGTAGATCACCGTCAAGAAACAAACCACGAGTGGCCGAATAATAAAGGTGAAATAAAGTTCTTGGGACCACGTGGTTTAAATGATCTAACAGTTTTTGAACTGTAACCAGTTTTCTTAGTTTCTACGTACCATGAGTTGACTTTGTGATCATCACAACCAGTCTTAAAAGCAAGCTGAAAGTCTACTGGTATTGTTACGTCAGAAATTCTTGACGGACTTCTAAGAGATTCGCTCACCCTATATGTTACCAGCCCACTTGACCTAAATCTCCTAACTATTGGTAGCTTATTAGCAGGTTGCTTCAGTCTTGGACCATCAAACATCTATAAAATATATTCCATCGAACTGTTTGATTTCGACTTTAAAACAGATCTTTTAAGTGTGTCTTTTTAAACGTATCGTGTAATCTCGAATACTTTTTAAATGTTTTCAAGCTGACATTTTTCAGGCTAACAGCAAAACAAAGAATAAACAAAAAAAATGCAGTATATCCCTATTCCTTGGATAATTTTGTCAAGTTGCAGATTTCGGTACCGGCTGAATAAACTATCACCACCAGAATAACGCTAGATTTTCTATTCATCCACCGGTCCAGACTTAACACTAAAGTTGCCCCCAGCTACCAGTTCCACATAATTGCACTTATATTGTTATTATTAATAACAATTGTTTAGATGCAATAATTATTTCGTTGAAAAATATTGTCAGAAGAAAGTGTTCTTTGAGATATTACAAGCTGAGAATTCCATAGTGTATCACTTGTGTTGTTTGAAATAAACAAATTATTTCTGTTGTTACTTTTCAAATAGTACGCAAAAGAGACTTTGGGCTGTAAACTACAAATTATTGGCAACTAGTGAAACAGGTACTCTTAATCAACTTTCCAGAGACCATAATTCAAGAGTTGTTAACAACTAAACATTTGAATTTTTAAACAAAGTATAGGTCTCTAACATTCGTTCTGTGCTTATAACATAGAGTCCGAAATCATTCAGTAGTGAGCAGCACTAATATGCTACGACTTCACTCCAAAATATATATCAAAGACAGTCTTTGCAAAACTCCTTACCTTCTTACGCCTATATATCTGAAATAAACTACATTGGTTCTTTTCAGAGGAGTCATACAAGACCCACTATGACCCTTGCAGGTAACAGAAAGAATGACATGATGTGCAACATAAGTTGACTAGAAACTTTGGCAGGTTACTCAGCATATTAGACAAAAACCAAGTATACAACCGTTAGATGAGTTATTTGACAAGAAATGACCTCATAAGCCATTAGTAGTTATCGATTCCTATCATTGATCATTGTGTAACCGTCACAGTTATTTTAAGGGTTCTTAAGAAAGGAAGACTCAACTCAAGTTATTACACAGTAAAGTAACTGGATTCGCAAGCTGATAGGAATGCCTATCATGGACACTGAAGTCAGAAATATGCTAAAGCAATGTTCTTGGTTTCCGAAAGAACCCGAAGTGCCTTAAATAGTTGCATGCCTGGGGTGTCCTGCAGTTTAGGATCCGT